ATGGGGCCATATTGTTTTTCATCTTGCTTCAAGTTATTCTTGATTTCTTATCAAGCAACCTCCATTGCTTTGAAAATATACCCCATTGTCGGTTCCTTTTTGCTATTAACAAGGCGAAGCACTTTCAAAAGTGGCCCAAAAATATCAAGGCAAAACTGAACCCCACTCTAAAACCCGGTTGACATAATAATGTCATGAACCTTGTTTCCCTTGGCCTCCATAGACCACTTGCTCCCCTTCCATGCTTTAGATACAAACATGGTTCACAAATTGTCATTTAGTTTATTCAAAGAATCTAGAGACAAGAATGAGGTGGCAAACCTGGTGACCCCCGGCCTCACCTATAAAATCCCTCATAGCCAAAACATGGGTGTGGCTGTAAATAAAAATTGTCAAAGCTTTGGCTTTTTTAGTATCTCATGCACTGATTTCTTTTCACCAATCTTTTCAAGAATGAAATCTATACAGTGAGGCACGCAAGGTGTCCAAAAATGTGCGGCTTTGAAACCTCCAATAATCTAACAGCTGCCATATTGGCCTTAGCCATATTTGTGACAACCTGCACAACATTTGCCGCCCTTACCTCTTCAATGCATTGATTCACAACACCATATATGAAAGGTGCATCATGAATCTTCTCGGATGCATCAATGGACTTCAAAAAAACAGTTATCATGTGGCAATTAACTAATACGTTCATGACACTCCTAAACCTCCTGTCAATCCACATATTTGTCATAATAGTCACCCAAATCTGCCCCAACCATCCATGTGGGTCTTTAGGTAGTCGTGTGTTAATTCCACATCTTTCCTCAACAAAGGCCCCTTGAGCTCATAAGGTGTAGGATGCCTATATCATGGGCCAAACTACCCCACTGCTTCAAAGATAACAATGAAGCTCTTTAAAGTGGTAGTGTTAAATGATAGACGCGCTTGAAAGTACCATCGAGCCACATATTGATTCACCCTTTCTCTCTCCTGCTTCTTTAGAGTACTATCTAAAGTACTTTGTATTGTTCCCTTTAGTGAAACACCACATCGAGATCGGGATGTGAGAAGAATGTATCAAGAGGCCCTCTTGTTCGAGGTCTCTTATGCCCAATGGTAACAAGTCTACTTTTGGAGTCTCCTTCCTCTTCATCTCCATCATATTCAAGTATGCCATGGATGTTTACAAAAGTTCTCACACCTTCATATCCCTTCTTGACCTGTTGTTTCTTCTTTTGGACCCCTTCTACGTTATTCAACATCTCTTTCCTGACCTCTACAGGGACTTGAGCATATGATGCCACATCCCCTTTTATGCCGGCCAAATGATTTTTCAATCTAATAATGCTAACATTGTACTCCTTTTTGCAAAACTTGCCAGCTACTCTATTCTTGTCACTAAGGTTGGGACAATATCCATATTTCCAACCAGAATCACTTTGTTTATTTGAAGCCGAGGAAGACATTTCACCTAGGACTTTTATCTATCAAGTATCAACTTATCACCTAAGCCTGAAAATTACACAAAAACAACAAGGTCAAACTTGAAAAAATTAGAAAATGGTCATCTAAAAAATTATGAATGGGAAATGAAGTAAAAACAGTAGATACATTGACCATTTAATATATTGAGTTCTTATTAAGCCAAAAAATAAATCTAAGTATATAATACAAAATCAGAAAAAAATATTATACATTATTAAATATTAAGCAATTATTAAACTAACTAATAAAAAAATTATGGTTTATGATTCATACAAGTAAACTCATGTATAAAACTAAAAAAAAAAAGAGCAAACAAAAACAAAACGGGAAAATAATACTCCAAATAAACAATAACATATCTAATATATATCAAAAAGTATAAAAAAAAATACAAATAAAAACGAATAACATCATTAGACATTGTGGAAAAATAATACATAACCTGATAAAACCTTTAGAAACATACCAATCTTCTTGAAGTGGATTCCATATCGGGCTAAACAAAAATTTTTGGGTTCCAAATCTCCTCTTTTACAACCACTATAAGCCTCAAAAAGATTGAGGATAAATATCCTTTAATATCGTGACCATTTGAGGAAGTCGAAATCTCAACAAATCTTCAAGTCTAGTTTTTTTCAAGTTGTTTCTCACTCTAAACCTCACTAAAACAGTTTTTGGGGGCAAGAATGGGCCCCCAAACCCTTTTTTCCCCTTTAAGGGGGTAAAATTATATTTTTTGCTCTCTCTAGAAAATATATTTCCACCAAGGATCCAGGCCGCGCCTAGGCGCCTGCCTTTTATATCACCTAGGCAAGCGCCTAGCAAAAGCCGCCTAGAACAGGTCACCTTGTGAACGACTAGGCGATTTTTTAAAATTGTGACCTAGGCGGCTGAGCGGCCAAATTTTCGTTCATTGTAAGGGAGCATCTAGGAAGAAGGCTTTCCAAGCAAGACGAGATAGGAAATGGAATACAAGAAGTACTAGGGTCTTCCTTCTCAATCTAACACTGAAAGAGAAGTAACAGACTTCTTTGGTACTTTTTTCTTGGACTTGGTGGTGGCATTACCTCTGAGGAAGTCTCTGACGTCAGAATCTGATCAGACGTGGTACAAAACCAAAGCCTTCAAAATATTTGGAATGTCTCCCTAGGTGTCGTCCATCATCTTGATTTTCTATGAATCAGCTTAGTATGACATGTGACTCCTTGGTGGACACCAAATCAGAGTAGGAATTGATGGCTAGAAATTATTTGGTGACTAGGACTGCCATCCTTTTTTTTTTCTTTTTTTTTTGCAAAATAATAAGAATCGATGACACTATGTCAGGGGTTGCCCCCTTTGATATATTAACATTTAAGTTATTAAGAATGGTGAGTTGGTGACAATGCGCCAAATATTTAGATATGACAAACACAATATGAGGTATCGTGATGGCGTACCCATAGTGACAATAAGTCAAAAAAAGAATTTTCATACATAGGTAGATTGCTTCTTGTGTTACATAATAAGTCTTGTAGTCATGTCCGTAGTTGATGGTGACTCAGTTACTATGTCTACTGCACCATGGTTCATCACTAATCTTTGGCCCATGTTTTGTGAGAATTGGGTCACAAACTCATGTTATTCTTATATTCTTATAACTTTTATATACTTTTTGGTATATTTTACACTTATTAACCATCCGCATAGGGAGTGATGCAGCTGCACCAAAGTGTATAGCACATTTAACACCCTATCTCACCACATCCGGTGTTTGATCACCTTGATATACCCAAAATCCACATAAGCAACCCATATAATCTCAGAATACATACCAGATGGACAGATTTTGTCCAAAAGTAGGAGGGAACTACTTTACAAAGAAAAATACAATCTGAATAAATGCCTAAGATGGCATACAGTCCATTGTAACGTTATTGTAATCCGGAAAGATATCCCAAAGATTGCAAACTGTTGGAACCATTATAGGATACTGAACAGCATGTTGAATACGATGTAACAATTAGATTCTAGTTGACCATACAGGACGTTAGTTGACTAAGTTAAGGCTTAGGAGACAGAGATCATTAGGAACCTTCAAGATTGGATCAGTAACATGGAGAATATAATGAGCATTAAGAACTTGTTGAACCCAAAAGAGGAAGCTCAACACCAAGTGCACACATAAATAGATCATTCAGAAGTCATGAATGCTCGAGGAGAAGAAAGAAAAAAGATCCTAAAAAGCCCCAAACAAGAATCCCACTCCCCATCTGCTTGCTTCCATGCATAATGGTTTCAATATTTTGAATAAGGACCTGCTTTATATGCTGAACATGTGAAGATCTTGTGCCGACTGCAGGTGAAGATTAGAAGTCGGGAAGAGAGACAAAGCAGAGGCAGTGCTCCGAGCGATATTTGCAGGTAAAAACTCAGGAAAACCTATTGTTGCATTTAAGAATTAAATTTGGAGGATTCCTATATCAAGAGATATCAATTATCAGAGGATTAATTATTTGCGGTCCTACCATATGTCATCTCTCATAAGCAAACAATGTACCACAATCACAATCTTCTGCCAGACATATGCAAACCACATGATCCTCAAGTTTACAACCACACCTTCCAACATGCGCTTGCCCACGTGTATAGGAGTTAGCTATCACGCGAACGTAAATTTGTTAAGGAAGTACTAGAACAATTTGCAACCAAAAAAAAAAAGAGAGATTTTTATTGCCTTTTGAGATCATTAATCATTTAGAAACTGACAATGAAAAACAACAGCATCCATTTACATATGAGATCTGGCTATAGGAATCAATTACTTCCAGCAAACCCACAAAAAATCGGTCCATACTAAAGGAACTCAAGTATCATCTACAATAACTTACACAAGTTCTGTTCAGTTGCAAAGCACAGATAGGTATTTTGTAAGTATCTTGATCACCTTATCTTAACCGAACTTGCATTGTTATTCAATTTGAAATTTGTTTCTGACTTAGGTCAGTATAATGTTCTTGCTTGATGAATGGCACATGCTGTTTAAAAGCGTACCTGAAGGGAGAACTGTAATTTTTTCTCCCAGTACAAAGCAAAAACAGGAGGGCTCGGCTTCCCAACAGCAAGTATACAAGCCCCAGGATGAAGAACTGGTGGTGTGCTGGATAGTACAGCCACATACTTCTCTGGAAATCTGTCCTTTGGAGGCAGAATACCCAAAAATAATGGGTTCTTGCTAGACTGGGTACTGGCATAGGAAGTTGGCTCAACATGCAACATCCACTTAGGGTGTTCGAGATATGCACAAAAAAGATACAACAGAAGGTGAGAGTCAGTAGGAAGCTCAAGAGTCCATCGGTTATTTACTTTGTCATAAACTTCCCCGTTCCCAAGGTATTCATAATTCTTCAAGCAGGTCCCTTCAGCAAGTTCTGCTAGACACAATAAAACATGCATAGTACAGAACACAATCATATGCTCTAACATAGGTCAAGGTATATCAGAAAAAGATGTTAAACTAAGGAACTTTCTTAAAGGGTCAGATGAGATGATACCTTTGATCCTTTGAACACTATAGTCAGCCCGGACACTGCTATGGGGTAACAAACCCTTGACCCATTCCCCTTTCATAAGCGCATGAAGCCTCTGGTGTTCAGTGATAGCATCTAAACACTCTTGTATAATGGGAATCATAGGATTTTGTGGTTGTTGTTGACTAGAGAAAGATATTTGAGCTGCTAGAAAATAGAAATGAGTGCATTTCCTTTCTATGATCAGGTAGAATACATGGAAATCATAAATGTGTGAATTTGGTACAATGTACATCAGAGGCTCATAAGATGTCGTTATAAAGAAAGGAAAGCAAATTTAGCAATAATATTTCAGGAAATTAAGACCAATAGGGAAATCACTAATGCATAATGCATATAATGGAAAACCATTACACGTTGTATCTAGGAACTTACATGGATTTCCATCACGAACTTGTACAAGAGTAGCTCGCAGCTGATGAAGAAGCCCATCCTCATCAAGTACAAAAGTTGGTTGCCATCCTTTTATCCCTTCTATTGGAGAAACAGTAACAGGAGTCCCAGCATTTAAAGAATCACTTCCCACTTGACTCACAGTTATACAAATGCCAAGCTTGGCAGCTGCTTGCATGACCTGAAGAAAACCACGAATATGGAAAAGGGGAATGTCTCACTTAGTCCCAACATACCTCAAATCTACACCAAGAAAGAGAGAAAATAAACATGGAATGTTCTCTCTAACCTGTATATGACTCATTTCGATTTTTTCCATGAGCGGATTCAGCAAGACAGCAGAAAACCATTGTCTGAGACGGTCTCGCCACTGCTCAATATGGGGGTATATTCCAAGACTTTCAAAAGCCTCAATAACTTGCTCCATTGACATGGACATAGGGAGGTCACCTTCTCCCTTCTTAGGAGGAGTAGTATACTTCTGTGAACTGGGAGACATCCTCACAGGCCTCAGTGGCGTACTCCTTGCAGTTGCAGAGGTGGCTGCAGAAGTGGGGGTCATAACGCCAACACCATGAAGAGTGGGTGGAGGGGTCATAAGACTTTGAGAAGGTGTAACCGCTGACTCCATGATTTTCTCGCGCACATCTGCAAGAAACTCCTCGAGGACTGCCTCTGTTGGTATTTCTTTCAGTCGCTGCTTCGACCAAGGAGTCGAGATCGGCTTGTCCAATGCTGGGGAGCTCTGAACTGATGATGGTTGACGAGGATTCAGGTTCACTAGGTACAGTGGAGAAGTAGAAGCAGGTGATACTGATGAATGAGTAAGAGAATTTGGCTTGCCACCACTAGAGCTATGTTTTTCCAACCCAATCTGTGACGATGAGTTGCTGCTTTTAGAGGCTGAGTTATGAAGTGGAAATAGCACAGTCGAAGGTGAGCTTAGTCTTGATTTTGGTGGTTTCTGTCTGCTACCAGTGCTAAATAAGGAATCTTTATCAACATTTTCATTTGAGATGGGTTTCTTTAATCCTATGAGGGCCTGTTGACGATCAGTTAGGTGACTAGGCTCCTTTGTGCCACTAGAAGGGTAACTTAAGTGAACACCATCTCTTGTTTTTTGCAAAGAGACGACTTTCAGAAGGCCAGATATGGATCCAATGAACACAAAGGCCACAACAATCTGAGAAACTTTCCAGATCAAATCTGAGAAATTCAACAAAGACAGTCAAAAGTGGAAGATAAAAGAATAATTCTTAAACGATGCTGTAGAATTAGTTTGCAGCACACTTACATGATGTGCCTTTAGGAACATTTATGCGATGCAAGTATTCCATGAACCCATCCCCCCTTTAAGATAATATAGAAAAAACTTCAGTATTTTTCCAGCAATGCATCTCTTGGCCACACAATCAACAAACCATTATACATCCACAAAAAGACAATCAAACTAATCTAAATAAAACATTATTCGTAGGAAAGAGTTCACATTTTGGATGGTTTTCAATTCTATGCAAACCGATCTTTTAATACCAATTTTGCGAACTATAAACAGTAAGCTTTATTATGTATACGTTAACTGATTCATAATTGAAATCCAGAATTCATGATGCCAACCCATTATTGAAAAATTAATTATTGCATCAAGCATAACATAAAAGGAATAATCATTTAAATAAGCATTGTACTGTGAACCAAAAAAGATGAAGAAACAGTGACACATCTATTATCATGGCCATATAGATCACTAGGCGCCAACATCTTTCGATATGTAAATGTAAACATGATGATATGCTAGGTCTTAGCCAAGAAGTTCGCATACATGCTTAGTAAGACGGAAAAATTATTGAAGATCTTTTTGGATAAAATATAAGTCTCCCAAAATCTTGCATTTTGATGAATTGGGACTCCAAAAGTCTTCTAATATATTTAATGGAAGGCAGAATGAATTCTAGAATACCCAGATTTTAGGGGCATAAGTCAAGAAAAATGCAAATCTAGGATAGAGAGGAGCCAATTCAATTATAATAAGATTATTTTGTTTTCTTTGGGTTTCGTGCTAGAGAAATCGAATCCTAAATTCATTTGCTCAGAAGCGGCTCATTCAGATAAGTCTTCAATACTTCACTCTTCTCATAGAGGCACATCAAATAAAAATAGTAAAAAATAATTCACAAAAAATAAATTGACCAAAATACCCTTGAAAGACTTGTAGAAAATATTAAAATTCACATACAAAACACAAGCATGACCATCAAATAGGCGAGAACTATTGTATCAGCCCTTAGGCTGATAATAGTTACTTCCTATATATATATATATATATATATATATATATATATAAGTAAGGAAAGGAAAGGAAAAGGAAAGAAAAATGAAGAAAAAAAAAAAAATAGGAGAAAAAAAAAAAAAACTGAAGGAAGTTTGATTGCATTTAAGGAGAACTTGAGACCTTCTCAAGTTCTTTACTATTCACTAAAGTTTCACGGAATTTAATGCCCACCCCTATTCGAATACTTCTTTCCTAATAGTGAAAAGGGATCGCCTCTAGGGCTTAACCCCATAGACACACCTTGTTTTGAAAGCTAGCCAGGTACCTTCTCCCTCTATTCTCTTTCCTCTCACCCCTTACTTTACACGCCTCGTCTACCTACACATCTTTTCACATTACTTTTTTCTTTATAGATCTATGTTTTGTGCTTTCTCTCCTTGTGGCTCTCCGTTGTTAGTACAATCTGAGCACCCAATGTGTGGGTTGCATATTAATTCTCTCTTTACTTCTCCCCTTGTTTATCTCTATCATTCTATTCTTTCCACCTCCTCACCTCTTTCAATGTTTCTTTTCTCTACTTCTCTTATTCTTAATCTCACTCTTTCTCCTTATTGTATTATGCTTTTAATCTTCTCTATTATCACTCCCAAATTTTGTTTTCTCCATCCCGGATAGGCCATGGTCCAGCATGTCCACTTCTACTATTCTTTTTTTTCCTTTTTTTTTGAGAAAGGCACTCCTAATATTCTTACTCTCTTTATTCTTTCTTTTCCATTCTTTCTTTACTACTAAGTACTTATCATGCTGCCTCTATAAAACCCTTCTCTTACCGACCTCTCTTTTTCTGCATTTCGCTTCCCTGCTCCCACCCTTACTTGCTATTTATGTTATTATATATTACACTTTTTATTTGAGCTCCCAACATGTGGGTAGCATTTTTGCAATCTTTTCGGCCCACAGGGGAATCTACTTCCTACTTCAGTCATTCAATTACCCTGCACAACAACGATCTACCAATCCAGGTCACTACCTTTTCGGTCCTCTCCTTCTAGTCCTCATCGCCTCGAGATCAACATCTCATGGTCTACCGTGGAAACAGAAGCCTCGATGGATTTTATTTTTTTTTGGTTTTTTACATCGCTCATGTCATGGCCCTCTATGGGCATTTTTTTATATATGTTCTGTAGTTTTTGTTAGGTGCGTAGGATCCCACTTTTGTATAGAGCTCCCGACACATAGCAGCTATTTCTTATTAGGTATATATCATACTTTAAGCAATACAGTCAAATATTCTCTCAGTAAAAACATACTAATGAAAATAAAATTCATCACGGATTTCTCCAACTGGCTTAAACCACGATTTGAAGCTCAAAACATCTGAACAGATCCTCGATTTAAGCATTGGATCACTCGAAACAGACTTGTGAAAAGGTATGCCTTCAAAAGTCATATGCATCAAAAATCAGTTCTCAACTTTCATTTATAACAAAAAATCCATCAACAAACTCAGGCTAAATCAATTGCTAATTGGAAGGCATTATTTACCATCATGTCTGCAAATATTTTGTGTTAGTCTAAGTATGCATTTGCCAAGCACATACCAGTGAAAGTTGTGGGCCAGATATTAAGATATTGAGAACCACACCAAGCAAGGGCATTTTGATATCACAAAATAGGACCTTCATTGTATTTAAATAGCCAGGATGCTCTGAAGCAATGTGACTAGGCGAGTCCCAGTAAACTGGCATGAGTAACTCAAGGCATGTTGCCTTGCCCGCCCCAAACTTAGGCAAATATAAAGGTTGATTAAAATATTTAAAATAGATCGATAATTTTTTTTTATGTTGTTAAAATAGATCTATAATTGACTTAATCTTTGATTAAAAAGATCACAATTGCCTTATTATTAGTTTCCTATATACTTTTTATGGCTTTGAGATTTTTTATTTTTTCCATATCTTTTCTAGTTTCCAATTTTTTATGAGAAAATGAGATTTAACTAGTGTTTTATTTTATTTTTTCTTACATTTGTAACAAAAATTTCTCATCTTTTGTACACTTTTTCCAATTGTTAATCATTTTCTTTGTTGTTTCCTATTTTTAGCCATTTTTTCCTCTTTTGGGTGTTTTGCCCTTTCTCGGCCCATAATCATCTCAGACTCACCCAAGTAATGCGACCAAACAGTGGGCAAGCCCCGCAATTGAGCCGAGTTCAAAAGCATTGGTCTGAAGAATTCAGATAGACAGGATATTGTGAAGCCTATTAGGTTTAGGCACTTACTGCAAATTGTTTTGCGTTCCTTAATGGAAATATTATCACCATGTGCTTCACACGAAGCTCCTCTAGTGTCTCCTTGTAATTGAAGAACTTCTCATTGGCACTTACCTAATCTAGAAACTCCTCGGAGTGTAATTGGCGATGGAACTCCAGCAAATCAATTTTGATAGAGTCCTTATCGAACCTAATTTGGTTTCTCGGAGTTCCTCGTGTTCTCGTTGTTGGCAAAAGGGTTCACATCAGACTCATCACTCGAAGAGCCATGGATGGGCTTGAGCTGGCTTCGATCTTCTTAGCAAATCAAGTCGCAACGTCAATTGCTCAACTTGTCAATGCAGTTTCATTAACTTTTCGTCTTTCATTGTTCGCCATATAGTTGTTGTGTCCTCCTCTACCTCTAGGTCTCCTCACCACCATGGTAGAAGAACCTTCTCTACCTCTAGGTCTCCTCACCACCAGGGAAGAAGACTACACTAGGAAAAAAAGAGATTCTAGCTTAAGCTTGAACTCAGGCTCTAGTACCAAATGATGAGGGAAACTAGTCAGCAACTAGGAGATAGATAGAAGAAAGAGAGGAGGAAAAGTACAAAAGCTTGTGGCAGAATGTTGCTCAAGCACAAAAACAAAATTTGAACTATTCTAAAATTTTAAGAATTACATCCCCTCAAAGCTTGGCAAGCCACCCCTTTAAAACTGTCCCCCCCCCACCCCCCCCCAAAAAAAAAAAAAGACCGAACATCATTTCCATAACAAATCTGGAGATTTTCTAAGCATCCCTACAACTCACTAGACACCCATACAGCTACCTAGGCAAGTTATGATTCCTATCAACTCCCAACACAATTTCCAACCTATTTAATTCTTACAACATTTCCCACAGTTCACACTCATCTATGCACTAACGCCTTTGGGTTTACTCACAATTAACTTGCATAGAAACTAGTAGTCCATGCTGGAAATTACAGGCCCCCATGTCCAGATAGATTTGTGGGACCCACCAACTGCCCATGCCTAAGATTGCAAGGCCCACGTTGTGCCTACATCATTTATTAATCAAATTAATAAACAACTAATTTCTACTGCCCAGTTTTGGCTCCCATTTCTTTATTATATTTTGGGGGATTAATAAAATTTTTAATTTTTTTTTTTATAATATGGAAAATGGAGAGATCGAGGAAGATGCAGCACACAGAATTAGAGCTGGGTGGGTGAAGTGGAGATGTGCAACTGAAAGTTTATGTGATCGTCACATACCAATGAGGCTAAAGGGCAAGTTCTATAAAACAGCGGTGAGACTAGCTTTGCTCTATGGGCGGAATGTTGGGTGGATAAAAAACAATATACCCATAGAATGAGTTTAGCAGAGATAAAGATGTTGAGATGGATGAGTGGCAAGACTGGAAGGGATAGAATTCGAAATAAATCTTTTTGAGAGAATTTAGGCATGGCACCAATAGGTGACAAAATGAGAGAGAGTAGACTTAGATGAGCTGGCCATGTGTGGCGCCGACCACATACAGCACCTGTTAGGAGGTGCGAGTTAGTTCAAGTGGAAGGATTGAAAAAGGACAAGGGGTAGGCCTAAAAGGACGTGGTTGGAAATAGTCCGAAAAGATATGGGGACTTATGACCTCTTTAAAGATATGGCCTTTAATATAGCAGAATGGAGAACCAGGATTCATGTAGCCGACCCCAATTAATTGGGAAAAGGCTAAAATGATGACGCTGAAGATGATGATGATGTGGTTAAGCCATAGTTAAGGGATGGATGACACCTATCCCAATAATAAGGGGACCCTA